AACATGCGCTAAAACAAAATTTATTCGTTAGTTCGTTATTGAGTTGAAATAATGTTTCGTAAAGATAACGCGGTGAAGCCACACTTCAAGGGCTTGTGGCTCAACATTTTTCTACAGAGGGCACACATTTGCCATTTGCGAAGCTGGAAATGTAAAATAATCCGAAACGGCTTGCTTCAGTATTTCAACGACACAGCGTGTGACGTTCTGCTTTTCTTTTTGCAAATGTGAAATGATTTTGGAGGTGACAAAGAGGAAGATGAAAGTATTACGCACGTGCAAAATCTGTTTACAATAGAGCGAACTTGGTCTTGTTGGTGAAAAAGTTTTTAAACACATAGCGCAAGTAACGTCGTGAACACAGGAATAGAACACACACAGCACCTTCCCGTGTTCCCGTCGTTACACTTGCGCTGTTTGTTTCACAATGCTTCACCAACACGCCAGGTCTTGCTCATACGTAATCCCTTTCTCTCCATGTTACCCACCTGCTAAATCATTTAACATCCGCAAAAAAGGCAGAACGACTCATTCTCTGCCAACGCAACACTGAGAAGAACCATTTAAAATCATATTGCATTTCCAGCTTCACACATTTCAATTGTTTGCCCTCTATGAAAGGATGTAGAACAGAGTCCTGGAGTGTGGCTTCACCACACACTCTTTTGAGCCATCACTGTAACTCAGCAACGAACTAAGAAACAAGTTTAGCTTTTTGCGCATGTTATTCAAGGACGGCCTTCTCAAATTGATGTTACTTGAAAAGTTCTTCAGACTCGGCTGATATAGCGAGATATATGTTTTTGTTTCTTTTCTTTTTTTAACGCCAACCATTCAGTTCAAATAGTGTACTGCAGTGAAGATCCGAGAAATGCTGAAGCGGCAATGCTCAAAACGTTGGCATATGTGTAGCTTTAAAGGGATCCAGCTTGTGGAAACAGTTGGGCAGGTAAAAAAAATCTGAGAAGCACGTCCGAATAAGGCTGACAGATTATCTGGTGATGTAAGGCCACAAGAACTTACCAAAAACTGATTAACGCTCCTTTGAAGTGCCAGGGAATAGAAAGTCTTCCCAATGTAGTGAGTCTCGTGGATACAAATGGCACTAATAGGGTGTTTATAGAGAAACATGCAGAAAGAATTTCACAGTTACAGGAGGGACATCATTAAAGATTATCAAATGGGTGTTGACCGGTGTTCTTTTTGAGCTCGCAAAGCTGCTATAAATCATCATCGGTTTACGAAGTGCAGCGGCTCTTTCGTTGAAACGTCACAGAAAATGAAATTTGCGTCCTTTTGATGAAGGTCGGGTCCACAGAAAAAAAAACGTCTTATCGGGTACGTACTCACTTCAAACGCCCGTTAAAAAGCTAGTAATGATGACGACGACGGCATGACTAACAGCACCACTGACCATCTCAACCATATTGTGAGGGTAGCATCCTCATTTAGTCGTTCTGTATCAAAATCGCGCACTAATCCGCCGAGTTCTTCGGTCTTCTTCATCTTTGCGGCGGCTGCATTTCCGGTGGAGGCGGAAATGTTGTAGGCCCGTGTGCTCAGATTTGAGTGCACGTTAAAGAACCCCAGGTGGTCGAAATTTCCGGAGCCCTCCACTACGGCGTCCCTCATAATCATATGGTGGTTTTGGGACGTTAAAGCCCACATATCAAGTCTTCTCCATCTTCCCATTATTATCAACCTTGAGATGCACGGTACACGACGCGCTCTCTCTATTGGGGTACATTGCAACTATTCAAAACTTTGCTACTGTACCGTATCCTCACGAAAACAGCACGTTAGGTTTTGACAGCGTATATGTTAAAGATTTTCATTTGTTTATGTAGTGCAAACGGAGGATATCCTGATGAACCAGAACGAGCTCGCTTTATTTTCTTCTTCGTCTTCTACTTCGTTCCCACAACACGTGCGCCGATTTGACTGGCGTGGAAAGCTATAACTACAATTGGCGAGTCTGTTACATTACTAAAAATTACGATCTGAAAATCATAACTAAAAGCCTAGTCACGCGACTGAAATCATGGAACATCGCGTAGCAACTAGTCACGGTGACATGTGCCCGCCAGAACTAAGTGACGCGTACGTAGTGTGGGGAACCGACCAAAACCAGCGCATAGCAAAGTCTAGCCACACGTAGTGCTACCGGTACTAATAGCGAAAAAAAAAAGATCTATGTTAGCATCAAATCGTGCTAACCTTGGTGCAGCGAAGCTGGTCCATCCTCAAGCCCAGTCTTTTAGCCCAATGCCAGCTGGTGCTACGTTGCCATTGGTCCTCGCTAGGTTTTGCTATGTCTCAAGTTTTACGTGGGTCTTTCTTTGCTGTTAACTAGGTTTTCCTGGGTTCCGCTATGTTGTAACTATGCTTTGACTGACGATCGACCGTCTTCGCTGTGCCAAGCCTCGTGCAACTTCGTGCAGACTCCCCGCATTTTTTTGTCTCTCTTCATTTCTATTTATTCTCTCCCGTTTCCTTTTCTTCTATTTCCTTTTCCTTCTTCCCGTTTTTTGTCTCCCTTTCTCTCTATTTCTCGCTTTCTCTTTCTTTCTATTTCTATCTCTCTATATCTATCTGTGAATCTCTCTGTATATATCGCTTTCTAATTTTTCATGTGCCATGCTTAACTCTTTTCCCTCCTCTTTACCCTCACTTCTTTCCTATGGCCTCGCTATGCGATACTCAACATGGGTTGCACGTGACGTCATTTCCAGCTGGCAAAGTGAGCAACCGCCATGTTTGACAACATTGAGCCAGGCTGCGCATGCAGCTTGGCGCCGGGTGGGAGTTTGTCGGCGTAATTCGTATGATATGGCGAAATGAGACGTGCACGCGCTTTGCCCGCCGTACTTCGAAGAGCTTGTGGGACCGACTCGTGTACGTTAGCGAGCGAAAACTGAAATGTGCGATGGCATATCGACCCGTCCGAACTGCACATCGATAAGCATGCTAAACCGAACGTCGATCTGCTGCCTTCCGTGACATCGTGATAGTGGTGATTTCGACAAGTCACGTCACGCTACAAAAAAATGAAGGTCTACAAGTCGCTGGATTGCCAAAACCACTTTATCAGCGAATGAGTGAAGAGCATAGCCGCAAAGCAGCTTCCATCTCAGCATGTCGTCATTCTAACTGAGGATAGTTACTACGCTCTTTCCCACTTGAAGTCCAACATGGGCTTCGACGGGAGTTTGGTGCGAGCCCGTGTTGCATCATGGTGGGGGAAGTTTTGGTGTTGTTTGCATGGGAGGCGCTCACGCCCCTGTGCTTGTTTCTGTAGTGTTGCAATGCTTGGTTTGTTTTCATTTCGTGAGCTACAGTTTCGTGAGATCAGTACTGCTGATGGTTCTTCACGCTCTGGTTCTGCGTCTACAGCAGGCATTTCGAGGGATGTTCCCGATTCCGTGGATGGCGTAGCCGCTGTGACTGCATCCAGCGCGTTCACCTGTCACTTTTTAGAGCTGTGAAAACGCGCTGATACTGCGGCAATAGTCGGGTCATAATGGCCGTAACCCAGCAACTTGTAGGCTCGGTGCTCAGTCGCGGTTCGTGTCATCCATTCAATTCGCGGGCTAAAGAAAACATGTTCACTTATGTGGCACTGTTTATCTCATTTATTAACACGAGACTCGACTATTCAAAAGAGAAAAGTCGGCTGTACTTCACTGTGCAAGATTAAATCCTGCGACCTGCGGGTCAGCAGCCGAGTGCCTTAGCCACTAGACCACCGTGGCGGGTATTATTCTGCTTACAAAAACGACAGAAATAGTCATGGTGAGGCCAGTGCTGCGACCGAAGACTAGATTTCGCCACTACAAAGCTTCTGGGCAGCTGCTTATGTTCACAAAGATAGCGGTTCTCGGTCCTCTCGTTCTCGTATACGTGACGTACACTGTCGTCCTTTATGAAAGGGAATACGCGAACGCGTGGCCTGCGCTCTGCGGCGGCAGCCTACATCACCATCAACCGACAGCAAAAGGAAACACGTTCACTTTCAGCGTCATCTGTTGCCGAAAAAATAATGAGTTATCGCCGGTAGACAAGAGCTGCTAGATTGCACTCTCTCTCTGCTCACGCCTGCAGTTCATAGTCCACTGCCAACATACTGATACGTGTACGTAACTGTCGTCTTCCTCCTTTTGGGTGTCATTTAGTGCTTGCGCTGCACGTTGTTCACGAATATCAAACGTTGTTCGCGACCACGGCGCAAGCTGCAGTAATCGCTCGATATCGCAGAACGCAATGTAGCAGCGTTTGTCTACCGACCATAACTCGTAATCTTGCTTGGTCATAGATGAAGCGAAAAGCAAACGTGCTTTCTTTACTGGTCCGTTGATGGTGCTGTAGGCAGCCGCTGCAGAGCGCAGGCCACGCGTTCGCGTGTTCCCTTTCATAAAGAAGGACAGTGTACGTGCAGCCCAAGTATATAAGGCTATGCTATGTTTGATAAGCGTGTCTGGGTAGCCGAGTTCTCAAGACGCTTCTTTCGATTGGTGGGTTCGGGAGGTTCAAATTTAAACAGCAATTTTTGCCGAGTTTTTTTCTTTCTCTTTTTTTCTCTATTTTTGTGACCTCTTTGCTATACGCCACTCATCTGTTGGCCTTTTTTTTTGTGGCACATACCCGTTCAGGTTGATAGTTTTGGAGTCACGACACTACGTCGAGCTACAAGCACTTCGCTGTTACACCCATTTAGTAGGATGATAGTTTCGGGGTCACACATTACGCCGAGCTAGACGCGCTTCGACATTATAGCTTCACATCTGTATCATTAATAACAAAAACTTAGACAACGCTGATTAAACACTCGCTCTGCTGTTGGTTCTAGCCGTGCACGACTAGGGCACACAACGCACTTTTTTCTTTATATTTAATACAAAAAATATTCAGTGGCAAAAAAAAAACAGTGACGTTAAAATGTGTTAACCTTTTATAGATAGCGTCAACAGTTTATGTGTTCCCCCCCTCCCCCCCTTGCGCAGGGAGCTCGTGACGAGCGTGATGCAGCTGCGTGGTGCACCATTCCGGAACTACTTCGCGGAAGTGGACCGCGACGAGGCGCTGCTGGACGACCTAGCGCCGCCATCGTCCGAGCAGCGGGTGCGCGTGCCCTTCGGCAGCGACGTGGACGAAGCGCAGGTGTGCGACGTCCGCGTCGAGGTGCGCTACCCGCGCTTCGGCGTCGACAAGGACGGCGACATGCGCCTCATCGTCAACGACGGTGGTGACTTCAAGCAGCCCGTGCGCGTTGAAGTCTGCAGGTATTGTTCGCAGCAGATGGAGGATGTGCGGCATTAAAGTATCTATCTATCTATCTATCTATCTATCTATCTATCTATCTATCTATCTATCTATCTATTATCATTGGCCTTCAACCCTTGGCTTTCAACTATCCCTCTCGGTTCTCCAGCGCAGGGTAGCCAACAAAGGGCAAAATACGGATAGGTGTGTGTACGCGCACATGTATGTGTGCGTGCATGTGGGTTGGCGGGCGGGAGCATTGAGTAATGCTTCCGAAAAAAGACCGTACATCATTTAAACGGAAGAATTGATAACTCGACCGTGGGGTACGCTGACAAAAAGAAAAAAAAACTGTGCTGAAGAAACAACACAAAGGAACTCTTGTCCTGTCCGTCTTCTTTTCGTGTTTGTCTTTCTTCAAGAAAAATTTACGCCAATAAATGGGTGTTCCTAGTCAACTTTAGATGTTTCTTTATCACCCTGACCATAGCAGTCACAGTAATATTCATGCTGCTTCATGCGACCCCATGTACGATAACCGAACTTGCCTGTTTCAACAATGTTGTTAATTAAGCACCCTGTGCTGCATTTTTTTATACTTTTCTAATATTTCGTATATTGAGGGCAACAAACGAGATGCATATTGTGGTTACCTGGCTATTATTTTTATCTCTGTTTTTTTTTTCATGATGCCAAAAGTTTGCATGATTGCTCTGTTAGCTTCAGAGAGCATTTCAGTGGATTGTTAGTTAGGGCAAGTTTTTAAAAAACTTTGTTTGGTCTAAACGTTTGCCACTTATCTAGGAAGCTTCAAGGGCAGGATTCAAAATGTTTATTTTCGCTGACCATTTTAGATTAATAACTATAAAAGTCGCTGAATTCATTAAACGACCACTTGTTGTTTGATTTCAAGAAATTGACGCAGCATTAAGAGATATTTGCACTGTAACATCACAGGCTAAATGACTCGTTATGCAGTAGCTGGCAGCCTAGGAACTTCGTAGGGATTATTTGGTGTTGCTGTCGTTCACATCAACTTAACCTCTTATTGCGTGGTTAAAAAAATAACACGAATATACAGGATGAAGGTCATGAGCATCTAAAGGCTCATTCACACCAGCGACTAACGCACCACGCGCACGATCAAATGAGTCGGAAATGGCCACTGTAGTCGCAAAGCGACTAATTTGGCTCCATCACGTATCTGCAGTAGCAAACGTCTGAAACAATCAGGTGCGCAAAAACAGTATGCAGCTTATGTCACTGCGCAATGACAGTGTGAGCCGATGTGAATTTTGTGCGGCGATGAGTACAAGTTCTGTGCAGTGGCGAACAGTGGTCACCTTGAGACTATTCTACGTCGTATGTATGTTTTTATCGGCAGTCGCGAATGGTCGAGGCCCCCTACTAATCGCAAGTATAAATGTGCCTTAATTATACAGGTTTTACGTAGACGATTCAATTGACTTACGCTACCATATTACCGAATATTCTAGAAATACTTGTGCTGAAATTTGATGCGTTTCACTTCTATTGTTACGCGGTGTATTACTTTCATAGATTGTTCCTTACATTTACACCAGATACTACACGACCAGCCAAGATCTATTTCATAATATTCTCAAAATTGGCTACCATTATTTCTCACTCATACCGCCATGTGTTTGCATCTTGATGTCGCGAAAACTTATCACATTATCACATTTCGTTCCGTTTACCTACGTGCTTCATCTCAAGCTATTTGCTTTTCGTTAACCTTCAAGCTTCTGCCCTGCTAGCAGAAATTTGGAGGTTACCTTCTGCCGGGCAGAAAGATATGATCCCCTTATTTTATCGCGGGGCGTTAACCATGATGAGCTGCATAAATGTTCCGACCGAAGATTGCACTAATGGAGATCGCCAGAATAATTCTACACAAGCATACTCCATGTGAGTATACACGGTGCAATAAGCCTCAAAGGAAATTACGAAGTCTTGAGTCTGCAGTGTTCTTTCTATCTCGTGGTCTATTATGTTTTTAACATTAATTCGTTTGCTTCTGTTTTTCAGACTTGCCTTTATACCCGACCTCAGTGGTTTGTTGCAAAAGTCTCTTTTATCGCTGATAAACTGATAAGCCTGACGATATCATTTCGGAGCCGCAGGTTCATATTAACAGTAAAACTTTACAACCAGCTCCTGTTGAACGGAAAGCGTTCTGTCACTTCGACTTGCATGGGAATAAGTGCCATTTTAAACAACAAATACAGCTTTGTTTTCTTATTACTTTGTGTACTAATTGAATTATTTACATATTCCGGCGTCCTTTCGATTGGATATGTATTTTTCTTATCGGCTTTCGTCAGATATATGTATTTCCTTTTAAATTTATGTTGTACTACATTCCCAGTCGGCTTCTATTTTTGGTTAGGTAAAGCAGGACTTCCGATACAAGTATTACAGTCTTGCCATTATACCAAGATTTGAAAATTATCCCAATAAATTAAGCATTATTGTTCTTGCTCACGCAGCTCTATTTAACACTTTACGTATATTTTACTTGAAACATAATGTTGATGATTTTTTTATTGTCTCCCACGCATTGGAAGGTCTTGAATCAGCTTAATATTACGAAAGTGGCCTTGAAGCGGTGACCGAAAAAACTCGTTTCCCAGTCTGACAACTCCGACGTGCTAGGCAAGATGCCACTGGGCGAAACAGGAAATATGACACAGAAAGACAATATAGGCTACGCCCAGAGATAACAATGAATAGTTATAGGCCTTTTTCTGGCTTCATGGCTATCGGCGCCGGCGATCCCCTGCCTCGTCGATTTCGATATATCGTCGTCTTCCCCCCCCCCCCCCCCGCTCAGAATCCGGCATTACAGGGTGTCAGGCAAGTTTGGGTTCGGCCGGTCTACTCTTCATCTTAGTTCGTAAAACATCGCATCGTTGCAAGGCGAGCCTCGCAGGATGTATCGCTCATCGAGCGTGATAGATGAGCCGTCGGTAGCATCGCCACGACTGCGCAGTGCACCCGAAAGAACAAAAAAGAAGTCACCGTTTCGCCAAAAAAGTGAAACAATTAATTTGATGGCAACATATTCGAATGTTTTACGAAGCAAAGCTGGCATTTTTAGGAGCAATAATAATTTTTTAAACATGCGCTTGGTAAGTAATCAAATTTCCGTCGTCGCGGGCACAGTAGATGATCACAACAAGGCTAGTGCGTAGTGATGGCGTTAAAGAGAAGTGCCTGCCGTGGGCAGACCATGCTGGTACTAAGGGCTATGCGTCATGTGCCGCCGCTGGTGGCAGCTCATTTATATGTGAATGGCCGCTCCAGGTACAATTTTAGCACCGTTGTTTTCGTGTGGAGAGCGCAGCCAGTAGAAGCTCTCGCCTTCAGTCGTGGCAAGAGCCTCACGCTCACCGTTGCCGCGATAGCTCGACAACCATAAGCACCCCCCCCACTCCCCTTCATTTCTCACAACAAGATAAGCGCGCGCGCAGATGACCCCGGCCGGAAAGGCGATGTTCACTCCGTACCCCATAAAGAGATGATGGCGGCAATGGCAAAAAATGAAATTAGGGATAGCTATGTACACTGGCAAGAAGGTTACATGAGAGTTAGGATTAACCTTGAAAATAACACAATGAAGAGACATCTTACACGAAATGTGTACTGAGTACAAGCATGCCTTCATTCATTAACGAGTTCTTACTAATGCATTCAGTTCGCTATGGCATAGACTGCGTATACTTCGAACATAATGAGGTTTCCTTACACCCTATTTCTGCTATGTTTCAATCATACCGCAGTGCTCCAAACAATTCTAGCAAACTAGGTACACTCTATAAAATATTCCCGTGTGCTCAGATTTGGGTGCACGTTAAAGAACCCCAGGTGGTTGAAATTTACGGAGTCCTCCACTACGGTGTCTCTCATATCATATGATGGCTTGGGGACGTTAAACCCCACATATCTAATCTATCTATCTTTCTATCTATCTATCTATCTATCTATCTATCTATCTATCTATCTATCATATATTCTTACCAAAGTTCCCACTTGTTGGAGACAATGCTTATTTGCAGTACTCTCCCTTAAATGAATATGAAGAATGCTTCGAAAAAAAACACACAAACACAAATTTGTATGTTATATACCTGCGCTAGGCTTTCCAGGACATTATACGCTCCAGCATCTTGAGCCGTCACCAGTTTGTTCATGCCTTCTTTGAGACTCAAACTCATTTTAGTTTCCGAAAACATGCGTCTCTCATAGTTATATGACGGTTTCGGGACGTTAAACCCCACATATAAATCAAATCGTTTCCGAAAACGGTTTAATGTTGTTGCACAATGTAAAGGTATTCCGCAGCCTCCGTGCTTGCTCTCTGTAACTTCAATATCGCATGCGTTACTTCGTTTGTTTTTTGTTTGTTTGTTTGTTTTAAGCATAAGCACTTTCTTTCGAAGACAAAGCGTAGAAAACGTGTCACTTATGCGGAGGAGCTTTTAAGTAAGGCAGGCACAATTTGCCGACATTCATAGGATAATTTAGAACACATAAGAAAACGTATCTATTAACTTGCGTATTCTGCATTAGTTGAATTGATTTCAGCGTTAGTTAGATACAGTGCCAACACAAAGACAGTCGTGCTTTAATGCACACATGGCGCTTCTCTCGTGAGTGTGCTCATCTTTCGTTATGTATCTGTAAACCAGTCACAGTTTATGCCATGTGAAATAAGCTACAAACAGTTTATTGATTTCCTTGTCATACGGTGTTGTGAACCAATTCCTTCACCGTCAGAACTAATACCCAGGAGGAGTCGAGTTCGGAGACGGTGGCACTCAGCCTCTCGACGACGACTAATCCTTCCTTGCACCACAACATGTTAGTAGCTGTCAACAGTAACCTACGAGCACATCCTTCCTTGCGCCACTACAAGTTAGTAGCTGTAAACACTAACCTACGAGCACATTAGACAGTAGAATAAGAAGTGCAAGAGAAACACTGGAGATATTACTCG